TGCTCGAGCTCTGTTGGATTCCGGCGCACAGGGCAGTATTATGTCGAGCAACCTTGCAGTACGGTTGGGCAATCCTATTTACAAGTCTTCTTATTCTATTCGTGGAGTGGGCAATGTTAGAATTTCGGACGTGATCGGTCACACTTCATTTATTTTCTCATCGAATCCCAACCCTCGCTTACAGTTTAGAGTCTCAGCTTTGGTGATGCCTGAGGTGATAGGTCGTCACCCTCCGGTGAAGGTAAACAGTTACATACGGTCATTGACTTCAGACTTACGGCTAGCGGACCCCAAGTTTGACACACCGGGGCCAGTAGACGTACTACTTGGGGCGGATGTACTAGGGAAGCTGTTCCTGACTGGGAAGCGCGTTCTTCATGCGGAGGGTTTGGTTGCAATGGACACAAAATTAGGGCATGTATTGTTGGGTCCTGCGTTCCGGCCGGTCGCTGCGAGGAAATCGGACAATGTTCTGGTCGGGTCTACGCTTTCGGAAGTAGTCCAACGGTTTTGGGAACTAGAAGAACCTCCTACAGCTTATCGAGTTAACCCGGATGAGGAGGAATGTGAGCTGTTTTACCAAAATACTGCGGGTCGTCTATTCGGGGCGGTTCTTGTTAAGACTTCCATTTCGGGCGAATCGCCCACTGCTAGGCAGCTCGAGGAAGGCAGCAGAGACTAGACTCTTGTCAATGGAGAGACGCATGAGGCGCGACGCGGTGTTCCGGCAGAAATATGTAGAGTTTATGCGGGAATATGAATCCTTAGGTCACATGTCTGTTTCCAAGGTAGATTGGAGTGCTACGGAGCACTGTTTCCTGCCTCATCGGTGTACATGCGGTATACTTGCGGTTTCTTCAACTGGAAGGGTTGATATACGGTTGGTGTTAGCGAAGAGTAACGAACGAACGAAGAGTAGCGGAGTGATTCAGGGGTTGGATTTGGATCTGCTCATCAACCGTTATAGCTCCTTGGACAAGCTGGTTAAGGTTATCGCCTGGATTTTGAGGTTTATTCGGAATTGTCGTTTGTCGGTGTCCCAAAGCAATATGACACCTGTTTTGTGTCCCATTGAGCGGAAGAAGGCGCTGCTGAAATTAATTGAAGTTGTGCAAGCCACCAGCTTTCCTTCAGAATTGAAGGCGCTAAGGACTGAGCGCCCTAAGCTTCGTGGAGCTATCGCTCGTCTTAGCTCCTTTGTAGACGGCCAGGGGTTGATTCGAGTGGGAGGTAGATTAAGTAACTCCAATTTACCTTATTCGGCGCGCCATCCTCTTTTACTTCCCAAGAAGAGCCAGTTAGTTGACCTGTTGGTGATGGATCGCCACATCGCAAATTCGCATTCCGGTTGCAATGCGCTGTTGGCATCCCTCCAGAGGAAATTTTGGATTCTATCGGGGCGTCGTGCGATTCGGAGCGTCCTGTTCCGGTGTTTACCCTGTTATCGGCTTAAGGCTTTTACGATGCAGCCTCAGATGGGAGATCTGCCCCCAGACAGAGTGAAGAAGATCAGGCCGTTTTCTGGAGTTGGTACGCACTTCGCTGGGCCCTTCATGATCAAGGCTTCACGTTTGCGGAATGTTAGGTTAATTAAGACTTATCTGTGCGTCTTTGTCTGCCTTTCAACCAAAGCTGTACATCTTGAAGTTGTTGCCGACCTTACAACGGAAGCCTTTATTGCGAGCTTGGATAGATTTGTGTCCCGTCGAGGCTTACCCGAATTGATACGCTCCGATAACGGAACGAATTTTGTAGGTGCGGACCGTTATTTGCGGGATGTAGTAAATTTCTTGAACAATAACCAGGTGGATATTGAAACGGCCCTCTCTCGTCGCAGTATTCGGTGGACCTTCAGTCCTCCAGGATGCCCCCACTGGGGTGGAATTTTCGAGGCAGTAGTAAAATCGGCTAAGACTCACTTGATGCGCGTGATAGGGCAAACCTCGCTCACCTTTGAGGAGTTAACCAAGGTATTTTGTAAAATTGAAGCGGTACTTAATTCACGGCCGTTGTGCCCGCTCAGTTTAGACCCGAATGACTTGGAGTCGTTAACTCCAGGCCATTTCTTGATAGGACAGCCACTCAATGCGTTGCCGGAGTATCCCCTCTCGGATATCAAGCCTGGATGGTTGCGGCGATACCAGATGTTGCAGCAGATGTCCCAAGATTTTTGGAAACGTTGGTCCCTTGAGTATTTACATCTGCTCCAGCAGCGCTTTTTTAAGTGGACGGATAGAACCAGTCCCCCTCACGTCGGTCACCTTGTGTTGGTTAAGGATGCTAACCTGCCGCCACTGCGTTGGCGTATGGGGCGCATTGTTAATCTGTTTCCCGGTAAGGATGGGACCCCTCGGTCTGCAGAGGTTCTGGTCGGGGACTCGGTTCTCAAACGAGCGGTCACAACGTTGTCCCAGCTGCCAGTGGATTAGGGACAGGTAGGGGACCTGTTCGGGCGGGTGACTGTTTGAAACCAATCCGTTAGTTTTTGAATTTTTACCACGGCAACACGGGTCGCGATTTGACGGTGCCTTCGCGATTTGACATCTGTCACTTTGTCTTGCTTCTCGAACGGGACGGTACCTGCATATATTGACGGTCTACGCTAAAGTATTGTATCATCGCTAATCCTTATCCATTCCTGCCCTAAACCCTTCTCCCAAAGTGATACGGCGTGAGAAGACGAAGTCATCGGTTCCGGTGAGTTATTGCATGATATTTTGTTAAAATAGTACATACGGCGCCGCGAATCGCGGCACATGTTCGACGCGCACCTCGTGCTGGTTTCCGGAGCCCTAGGCTGCCACGAGGGCGCTGGGTTCGGATCGAACAGAAATATTATCGATAAATATTGTTCTGGTGCGAAAGTCATTCCATTAGTGCACTGCATGATATCAAAACTGAAAAACCTAGTAATTGAAGAACCTTTAATCAAGTAAGTACATAAAAGCACTCTTACCGAGATTAAAAGTGCTATCGAACACGTAATAGTATCATCATTGGCTATTGCTACAATATTAGGACCAGAGGTTCAAAAAATTTCATTTTAAAGATCCGTTGGCCTGTTCAAATGCCATTAGTAAAATTGAAGATATAATAAAAAAACTCAGTAGGATGAATTATATACAACTACGGAATCTGTTTTGCACAATTCTGACAAAATTAATCTATCATCGGATTATAGTCTCTGGAGCGATCACCATAAACTGGTCCAGCGGAATTGGAAGACAAATAAAACAGACGAGTCTTTCTGATGTGTTATCGCTATAATCTTTATTTATTTGAGGGTTTCAGTTAGATTTAATGAAAACCCATTAGAAGTGTGGTTAGATTACAAAGTTCAGTTCGCAAAGGTTATATAATGCAGTATTTAAATATTTAACAATGGTGGCTGGCTCTGTTCCATCTGAGAGACTTTTCACAAAAATCGCACAGGTTTTAACTCAGCAGAGAAGTAGACTGCAAGCCAAAAGACTAAATAAAATTTTGTATTTGCAAGGTCTAGAGTTAAAGTATTGGAATTTATAAATAAATAAAGTTGATTTATTTCTGCACTCTATTTTACTTATATTAACCTGAACCCTGTCTAATTCATTATTTTAGACTAGTTAAATACAAATCACTTACGATATATCGAACATATCGATATATTTGTACGATATAACGTAAAGTATCGATAGAACACTTCGATATATTATAACGACAAAAAAAAAACGATTTTGTTTTTACATGAACATCCCTAATGCTGTTACAGAAAATGGTTTTATTAGTAGTGCTTTACCTATCTTTAAATCTCAATCAAAGTCTTCTGATTACCATGATGACATGAATTCAACCAATTTTCTAAATGGGATGAATGAAAAAATCAAAAGCAGTCAACGTGTTGCATCCCGTGGCCGAGCTAGGGGTGGTCGTGGTGGCGGTAGAAGCGTTCGCACACGTGGTGGTATTCGTCACCTAGCCAGACCTTCGGCCTCTGAACCGTAATTACCTCTTTAAAACTAAAACTTAAATTATGATACATCGTTGTTAGGTTTTTTTATTTATTAATTGTATAGATGGGTGGACGAGTTCACGGACCTCCTGACTTTATGTGGTTAACGGAGCACATGCACATACACATTTACAAAGTAAATGCCGCCACCCACCTTAAGACCACACACATAGTTAAAACGGCTGCCCCACCCTTCAAACCGAAACGTATTACTGCTAGTAACAATATTTATTACTGTGTTTCGACAATTTCTTTTAAGATTGATATATTTCTTTTAATGCCAATACATATTTTAGACTTGTGTAGTGTGTAACACGTTATTTTAGTTGTAGTGTAGGTAACACAATGTATTTTATATTAGGCAGTAAGTCAGTAAATAAACGACCGTCGACCAAAACACTTGTTTCCTTTACATAGCCCACATATCACACTACTCCCCATGAGGTTGTTGAAGAAGGCAATCTGAACATCAGTTCAGAGTGGCCTTCTCAACCTCCTCGACCAACTGTTTCTGCCCCACCGCCCGCCTCGCCGATGCCCGCCTCGCCAATGCCCTCTTCGCCGAAGCCCACTTCGCCAACGCCTCCTTTAACGACTATGAAGCCAAGTAATAAATTTCATTTTGAATCGAAGAAAGTTGTTAATGTCTCAAATCGAACCTCATTGAGGCGAGAATATTTCACCCAAATTAGTGGCCCTACGGTGTCTTTCGTGATGTTTCATACGATGCATTTAATGCCATATGTCATCGTAATATTATGGAAGTTATAGTCACGGAAACCAACACTGACGCACCCTCTTCGCCAACGCTTCCTTTAACGACGATAAAGCCAAGTAATAAATTTCATTTTGAATCGAAGAAAGACGTTAATATCTCATATCGAACCTCATTGAGGCGAGAATATTTCAACCAAATTAATGGCCTACGGTTTCTTTCGTGATGTTTCATACGATGCATTTAATGCCATATGTCATCGTAATATTATGGAAGTGATAGTCACGGAAACCAACACTTACGCACAGCAGCTGGCAACGGTCATGTTGTAGAGTGGGACGATCCATCCCAGAAGCCGGATTACTTCTTGGCAAGATAAGAATATAAATGAAGCTTATACGTATCTTGCAATAGTTTTGGCTATAGAATGGTAGTCAAAAGCCGCTTGGTGGAGCATTGGTCGATCTCCCAAAATATATTCTCAACCCCAGGTTTCTCCGCAGAGATGACATAATAGGTTGGGGAGAGGTTTTTTCGCATTATACAGGGTGTGCCAGAAAGGCGTGCGAATTTCAAAATCACATTACTCGCGACAGAAAAGCGGGAGCGGGGTGCGGGTAGTGGGGATAGGTTCCTTGGTTCTCGGAAATTCAGTTGCCATGGAGCGTTTTACCGGTGAGCAGCGTGCTTTTTGTCTGAAAGCGTATTACAAAAATGACGATTCGGGCACTATTGCGCGGCGTTTATTTCGTTTAATTTACATGATTTAAACCAATGTCCGAGTGAAAGTGTGATCAGATCGTGGGTCAGAAAGTTTGAGTCTTCGGGTTCGACATTAAATGAAAAACCTGCGGGGCGTCCAAGGTCTATAAGAACGGAGGAGAATGTAACCGAAGTCGCGGAGTCTGTACGACGCGATCCCCAGCAGTTGTCCCGAAAGAGATCAGCTGAGCTCGCCATATCAAGATCATCATTAAGGCGTATTTTGACCAAAGATCTTAAATTACACCCATATAAACTCCAATTAGTACAGGAATTGAAACCAAATGACCACCATTTACGTCGTGCATTTGCCGAAACAATGTTAGAGCGTTTTCAAAGTTTGAACAATATCCTCTTCTCGGATGAAGCTCATTTTCATTTAAGTGGATTTGTCAATAAGCAAAATTGTCGGTATTGGGCCGAAGAAAATCCCCAATTGAAACATCAAAGACCTTTGCATTCGCTTAAAGTTACGGTTTGGGCGGCCATGTCGGCTCATAGAATCATCGGACCCCATTTCTTCGAAAATGAGCGAGGCCAGGCAATAACAGTAAATTCTGATCGCTACACAGCAATGTTACGTAACTTTTTCTTTCCACAACTGCATAATTTTTAAGCCTATAACAGCAGGATCTGGTTTCAACAAGATGGCGCGACATCCCATACATCCAATGAGTCTTTGGCAGTTGTTAACGAAATGTTTAATGGAAAACTGATATCGCGTCGAGGGGACATTCCATGGCCTCCCTGGAGCCCAGATCTCACGCCACTGGATTTTTTCTGTGGGGGTACCTCAAGAGTCGCGTTTACGCCAATAAACCGACGACAATTGTCCAGCTCAAAGACAATATTCGCAGGAAATGTCCGATATCCCACGAGCGATGTGCCAGCGAGTTTTCACGAATTTGAGGGCTAGATTGGAAGAATGTGTAGGTGTAGATGGCACACATCTCAGCGATGTTTTTTATAATCCGCTCAACTTTATGACCCACCCTGTAATATGTATGAACTTGTAATAAAATATCTTTCGCTATACTATTTGTATCTGGGTGATTTTGGTATCATTAAAAGTTTAAATTTTAAAGCAGATAATTCCAAATTCAAATTAGGAAAATTTGTGTTTTTTTTACTGTCATGATGAGTGAATCTGTAGCATCTTAAAAATTATTTGTTACGTAATATTATTATTATTATTAATTACATTTACATTATTACATTATACAAATAGATTTAAATTTTAATAAATAATTGTATGTTGAACGGACAAACGATTTTTATATAGTGACTGCAAATACAAAATAAATGTACATCTAGACACACTTGGTATCGGTCCTCGCCAAAGTTAGTCAGCTGGTCGATTTAAGGCGAGACGCTTGCGCTTTTTGAATGACTTTGGCTTACAACAGTGTTTATAAAATACTTATAAGTTTGTAATAGTATATACTGTCGCTTCATGTTATCGTTTCTCATATCTCCACTCTTCTCGCCTTTTTTGTGTTTGTGCTTTCTTTTGACAATAAACTGATAGTGTTTTAAGCTGTGCGGGTGATTTAATTTTACAACACTTCAAATCTAACGACGAAATTCGATACATTTTAAGATTATACTACAAAAAAGGCAAAAATGCAACGCAAGCCGCGAAAAAAATTTGCGATGTTTATGGACCTAGTGCAGTGTCTGTGAGAGTAGCATAAATTTGGTTAAGGCGTTTTCAATCAGTAAAATTTTGATGTCAAAGATGCACGTCACTCTGGTCTCCCTATTACGGATAAAATAGATGCCATTTTTGAAAAAGTGGAGCAAGGTCGGCATATCAGTAGTTACGACGTAGCTGAAGAACTGGGAATTGACCACTAAACAGTTTTGGCGCATTTGAAATTGGGGTACCTCACAAGCTTACTGAACGAAATTACTCATTTCTGATTATTTATTACGACGTAATGAAACCGAACAATTTTTGAAAAAGTTGATAACTTGTTAAAAGTTGTAAAGTTGATAACTTGTTAAAAGTTGTAAAGTTGATAAGTTGTTGATAAGTTGATAAAAAGGGATCACGTATGATAAAAACGTGCGAAAAAAGGTCGTGGTCAAAAGCCGGTCAAGCTTTACAGATTGTGCCGAAACCCGGGTCAACTCGCAACAAGGTCATGCTGTGTGTGTGGTGGGATTAGAAGGGCGTTATTCATCATGAGCTGTTACCACCAGGCAGGACCATCGATT